TTCACAGCTTGTGGGGTTTGGGGCTTATAGGGTTTATAGGGTTTGGGACTCGTACAGTGTTAGTCGGCGGACGAGTGGCTAACTACCAGCCGTTCTTGCTTGCAAGCCTGCAGCAAAAAGGGCTTCTCAGGTTTAGGGTTTGAACACCAGCTCCGAAACACAAGCTCCGTAAACCGTAAAGCGACGACCCTAGCTAAAGATCTCAAGGAACATCCCAGCTTCAATAGTGTTGAGCAGTCGTCCCCATGATCTTACGTGTGACCGAGGTGATTCGGGATGTGTACACCCTCATATTTACAGCACCTTGGATGTCTGGATCATTATCCAAGGGCTTAACGCTAGAAAGTATAGGGTTTGCACTTTACAATCAAGTTGAAGCTTGAGGCTTTATCAGCTTTCGGGATGCGGGAGTTCAAGTTACTGCTGAAGCTTGAGTTTTCAGGTGCCTGAGCCTTGGATGCGCAATGCGCAAGAGTTTGGAGGATTCAGACACGAGGGCTGAAGCTTCGGCGTGAGGCGGGCATGACGGCATGTGCACTGCAGCCCCTCCTCAAAACAAGGATTATCGCAGAGTCCACATCAAGGGCTGATTGCGTAGAGAGCTCAATGTTGAGTCTGTTTCGGGCTTTAAAAGCATACTCCTTTACAGTGTTGAATTCATATAATGTTAACCCATCTGTTCAGGGTTTCCCCGAGGTGTTGGTTTTGCAAATCACGGAAAGAATCTCTCCTCAACAAGAGCCCAGGACAGCATCATTCGTATAAGGCTCTCGAAGCGCTGTGAGAACAGATACCCCAAAGGCCTCGAAGAACGCAAAGCTGCAAAAATGTTACTCATAATCATCATCAGCATCACTATCATCATCAGAACCAGAACGATTATGATAGCTACCAACAAGAATGAATGTACATATGGATATTCATGTTGATACGGTTATGAAGAACACTCAGAATATGAATGTTGAACTTACAGGTGGAGCTCTTCCTTCGCCTGGCTGCGACTGGCTGCGACTTCTTCTGCTCTGGTGACTGGCGGTGGAATCTGCTGGACCTGGTCATCGTGTGCCTTGTTGTAGGAGCTTAAGGGTTTAGGGTTTAGGGTTTAGTATGACCTTAAGGGTTTAGGGTTTTGGGTTTAGTATGACCTTAAGGGTTTGGGGTTGAGGGTTTGCCACAGTATTGAGTGTATTGCAGCTCGACCCGAAATCCTGAACCCAAACCCCCAAACCGTACACGCAAACCCTACACGCGCAGTCCGGGAGGTGTAGCAAGTGCCAATACCCTAAACCCGAACTCCGAACTCTGAGCCCAAAGCCTTATGAACCACCCTAAATCCTAAACCCTAAACCCTAAGCCCAAAATCCTAGACCCTAAACCCTAAACCCCAAACCCTCACCCCGAACCCCGGAGTAGAACCCACACCCCCCAGCTGTAGCATGGTGAACCTCACGAAGTTGGAACATGGATTTAGGATGAATAGTGCTGGGATTCCCTTTACTCTACCTTCAGAAAATGAGGATGATGATGTTCCAGCTCTCTGGCTTCTACTGCGGGACCTTGAGGGTTTAGGGTTTAGTTTAGGTGCTTCACGCGCTAATGTGGAATAAGCCTTTGACGCATCGTTAGGATCCCTTGTTCCTCACCCTAAACCCAAACCCCGAAACCCTAAACCCCAGACCCCTAGGACAAAATCCCAAAGCCACCCCCAAAACCCGAGAAACCCTAATTCAACCCCTAATTAATCCCAAAACCACCCAAAAGACCTAGACTTCTTTGCATAACCCTGCCACCTGCAGGCCGAAAGGCCCCTAAACCGCGAACCCTGTCGAGACTCCTCTGAAGTATGCCCTTGTCTTCTTTGTACTTAAAATTTATTATTATTGGGTTTAGGGTTTTATGTTTAGGGTCTAGGGTTCAGGGGCTTAGGGTCCAGGGTTTATTTCTTATTCGTTTGGTCGGGGCATTCTTGGAAGTGTCCCACTTCATCCGGCTACGCACCACCTGGCTTGTCCGGGTGCGAGCGCCGAAACCCAAGAACCCCAAACCCAAAACCCCAAGCCCTAAACCCAAAACCCTAATGCGAGAGCGAGAGTCGAAACCCTAAACCCTAATCCTGAACCCTAAACCCTAAACCCTAAACCCAAACCCCTAACCCTCCTTTTGCAATTTAGGGTCCCCTCGCAGAGCCAAGGCTCAGCTCTTGGTGGGTGACTTGGCTTCGGAGAGGTCTTGGAGTTGTGGCTCCTTATGAAGAGGTTTTCTAAGGGTAAAGCCTAAACCTTAATTAAACCTAAACCCAAAACCCTAAACCTTAAACCCTAAACCCGAAGCCCTAAAACCTCAAGGTTCTAGAAGGGTCGCAGACAGGGTTTATAAAGTCGGCTGAGGCCGGGTTCGGGGTTCACGGCTTCAGGGTTTCAGTAGGCTTGGGTGGTTAAGGCTTTAACTTTAGGTTTTGAGGTTCAAGGTGAAGGGGGCTTGGGTTTACGGCTTAGGAGTTAGGGCAGTTGGTCCCGGATTATATTTTGGGCAGTTTTGTTGTCCTGCATAGCGCTGCTTTTGAGTTGCTATTGGTTTATTGTCGCTGCTGCCAGTGTTAAAATTCGTGTAGTAATCTGATTCTTGTTGCAGTGGGTTTGTGCACTTTGCAGCAGTTCGCTTCCCAGTAGGAGGCAGGGTAGACGTCCAGGAAGGGCGGTGCTTTCATTGGTCGAGCTTTCACAGAGAACCATAACCGATTGCGAAAGATACCACCCCGAAGTGCATTATTTCATCATCTCCTTGAAAAGTATTTGATTTCTCTTGCGCTGTCTAGGGTTCTTGTAGGAGTTCGGTCATCATCGAACAGCATCGGCGCTTTATGATTTCTCGAGCTTGGTTTCCAGAAGGGGCATTCATGCTTTTCCAAGCCGGCTTGTTTTTGTTGTCCTCGTACGTCCCGAGCCCTACAGGAGACCTTCATCGAGCTGAGCATTTATACGCAGGGGCCAAGTGCAGGAGCGCCCAGCGGAGGTTTGGGGGGCCGTCGGGCTAAGAGGTTCAGGAACTGTAAGCCCTAAACCTCCCCACCCCCTAAACCTTCAGTGGTTTGGGGTGCAAGGTTTGTGGAATTGGTGCCCCACCGTGGTTGTTTGGATGTTCCTGATTTTGAAGTTTTCTGGTGTTTTGGCTAAGGAGTTTAACAGATTCTAGGTTGAAAAGAGGGTTCAGGCTGGGGATGGGGTTTCAGAATTCAGGGTTGAGGCCTTTACTTAGGGGTTGAAGATCCCCGGCGGTCAGGTTTTAGGCTGTTTCAGGGTACACCGAGACACTACGTAAACCCTGCATTCATTCGGATCATGCCTAGGTCCCCGAGCTGGAGAAGCTGTGAACCTGCATAGCGAGATTCGAACGAAACCCCGAGGCACGAAGCCCTACGACCCTACAGAAGCCCTAAACCCTAAACCCTAAACCCTAAACCCTAAACCCTAAACCCTAAACCTAAGCCCGAAACGTTGGAGCCCTTAGCCTTAGCCCTGAACCCAACGCCGTAAACTCAAGCCCAGAAACCCAAGCAACCCGAAACCCCCAAACCCTAGAGGACCTGAAACCCTTCTAGTATCCCATCAAGAACCCTGAGAAGAAGCCCAAATGCCAAAGCCCCGAGCCCGGAACCTGAAAAACCACGCCCCAAACCGAGCTCTATAGGAGGCCTCGACCCAGTGAGCGGGATGACGGGACTGCGTCCCCCGGAATCCACTGCAGTTGGGTTTCGGGCCTTCATCCTGTAGTAGGATCTCCCAGCATCCCTGAAATCGGTTTAGGGCTTAGGGTACACACTTTCGGGGGTACGAAGGTTGACGGTGTGCCAGGACTTGCTTGCGAACGGAGGTTTGCATCGAAGCTCTCAGGGTTCAGAGGCCTGGGCCCTTCCATCCCCGACATCCTCAACCTGTCACGTCTGCACGCAACGTCCTGCCCCAGCCCCTGAATCCTTACACGCAACATCCGGAGCCTTAAAGCCCAAACCGGTAGTGGGTTGAGGGTCCGGGGTGCTGGCAGCTGTTTGGCCACCGGAAAACCCCGGCCGGATTTCAAAAGCCCTCCAAGACCCCCATGGGTTTGGGGCCTCCACGTCCTAGAGATGAGGAGCACGCGTGTAGGAACCTTTCGAGGTGAGTTCGGGGGTGTTGAGGTCTGCGCCTGGGTTCTGGAGGTGGTCGGGTTGTTGTATGCAGCTGCTGAAACCCACCACGGGGTCCTAAACCCTAAACTCCGAAACCCAAAACCCAAAAGCCCTAAACCCTAAACTCCGAAACCCAAAACCCAAAACCCAAAAAACTCCGAAACCCTGAGGCGAACCTCATCTGGCAGAGTCACTCCTAAACCCTAAACTCAATACCCCAAACTCTCAACCCAAAACGCCTCAACCCTAAACCCTTGGAGGCAAACAAAAGGCGAGCCTCTCCTAAACTCCCAAACCCAACACCCCAAAGCCCCAAACCCTGAACTCAAGCGTCCTAAGCCTTAAACTCTAAACCCTAAACCCCAAACCCTAAACCCCAAACCCTAAAACCCCAAACCCTAAAGCCTAAAGCCCAAAGCCTTGATCGTCTTCGGCTTGGTTGACGTAGGGTTCCAGCTGGATCGCCTCGATTTCGGGATGGAGTTGGAAGCCTCTGCTAGACCAGACACTACTATACGGTACTATACTACACTGTATATACTATACTATACTATACTATACTATACTCTACTCTACTCTACTCTACTCTACTCTACTCTACTCTACTCTACTCTACTCTACTATACTATACTATACTATACTATACTATACTATACTATACGATACTATATACCACACTATATACTACACTATATACTCTGGCTATACTATCCTATGGCTATGCCATACTGCTCTGAAGCCCTCGACTTTGAACCTCGACACCCCAATAAACTTCAAAGCTCTGAAATCTAAAAAGACCCTAGCCCCCAGAGCCCTGGAAACAGTACGGCCCAAGGTACCCTGCGCATCGTCCGCATCACCCGGCTAGTGAAGATCGCTCGCATCGCCAGCAGCCTAGCAACTGATGTGTTGTAGTGTTCTAAGATGTTCTAAGTTACATGGGTAGTTCGCAAGAAAAGGGCCGTGCTATATTGAGGGTCAAAAAGGGGACCCTAGTTTAGAGAACTACCCATACAATGTTACCATATTTTTATTTTATTTTGTCATCTTGCCTGATTCAGTCTCGACTTGAAGCCTTGGCACCTCGAACCCTGAAGCCCGCAAAGACTCTAGTGTAATAATAACATACTAGAATCTACTATAAGATACTGAAATATACTAGACCCAAATCCGAAGTCTTTCAGCCCCATAGAACCCTAAACGGGCAATAGTTGTGATTCTCGGAACTCGAAGCCGTCAATGCCCCTCAACCCCCAAACCCTTAACAAGAACATCCCTCAAGGCCCGAGCGGGCAGTTCATTTGAGGACTAGGGTTCAGGGTTTAGAGCTTAGGGTTTAGGGTTAAGGCTAAGCCTTAATTGCTTAAGGGGTATAGGGTTTGGGGTTTAGGGTTTAGGGTTTAGGGTTTAATTGCTTAAGGGGTATCACCCTAACCTTAAACCTAATCTTTTCTACTGCTTTTACGGCCTCCGAGACCCGGGTGCTGCGTGTCATCATGGCCCTGCGGACGCTGACGCAGTCCATCATCTACACCCTGCCCTCCGACTGAAGGTTTGCTTTACTTCAGGGTTTAGGGTTTAGGGTTTAGGGCCTAGGTTGTTAGGTTATAGGGTTTAGAAGTATACAATATGTAATGCATCCCAAACCCTGCTCTGCTTCTTAAGTCATTAATGCGAGCCCCATTTCGAACCAAAATCCCGAAGCCCAGAGAATCAGAGGTTGAGGTTGGGGGGCCCAGATCCAGATAGCAGCTTTGGTGTGGTCTTTTGCTGAAGTCTTGCAGGAGCGTGCAAGGAAGCTTTCTTGGGTCTAGGGTGCCTCATCTTACATATCTCCTGAGACTGCCAGCTGTATGCTTTCCAGTTCATCGCCCGAATCTCCGAAATGAGGAAGTCACTGATCTGGGCGCCCCGGCTGCACAAGCTGCAAAAGGTGATAAACGTTCAGTCGTTTCAGCTTGGGCGGGCCTTGCGTCCGGATCCTAAACCCGAAACCCCGAACCCTAATCTAAAGGAAACACTACTCATAGGCCCCATAGTAGTTCCTTTTTGGGATTACCTTACAATAGGGTTCTACTTATGAACCCAAAAAAGGAACTACTCTGGGGCCTATGGGTAAACTCCGAACAGAAACGATGCTGCAAATGGCTCTAAATTTGAACTTGCGCGTTTGTGTTCAGGCGTCCTTTCGCAGCCCCCAAAACCCCCTGCCGGGGAGGGACTCTACACCATGGCCGTCATCCTCTCAGGTAGAGAACGAGTTTGTGAAGCCTTAGGCAAGGGTTGCTATAAGGAATATTATAAGGGTTACGGTCAGTAAGGGTTAGTTATGACACGAGTGTCTTTAACAGACACGATAGGGGTTACTATCCTAGCCATGGACCATGCACCATCAACCCCTGCATTGGCTGCTAACGGGATTCAAGACAGAAAGTGCCAGTCATGTTCACTAATAAACTTGGGCCGTATGTATAAGTGCTCTGTAGCAGGCATATTCAGGCAGCGTCACAGGCCGCCATTGCTGTCGTTCCAGCAAGCAGACGCAGGACAGCCCCAAACCCAAAATTAAACCCTGAACCCTGGATGCATCCTGAGTTCTCCTGTATTTCACACCGACTGAGCGCACATGGATCCTCGCCTGGCTTGTCCGAGTTGTGAGAGTGTAAACCCTGGATCCCAAGCATTCTGCCAAGCGTGAGCATCAAAGTGGCTCAAGGCGATGATTCTTCTCGTCTTGATTGTCGCTGGGCGTCTTTGCAGGGAGGGCTGCTGTGGGTTGTTTAGTGCCAAGGCTTTTTCGGAGACTGATGAAGAAGCCTACAAGCCTAAGGAATATTGCGGCAGAACTAGCTACCGTAGGAGCCTAAATGATTTCTACTATTCTTCCTTAGGGCCTTAAGGGTTCCTTTTTTCTACTCCTACTCTAGTACTGTAGTATGCCCAAAACCCCCATGAGGAGGGCTGATTGTTTTGGGCTGAAAGCGCCTATGGCTTCCCAACATTGCCATGTGTCCAACAGTTTTTCCACTGCCATGGCTTGTACTTCTTCTTCTTCTTCTTGCTGCGGTTGCCGTCGCTTTGGCTGTCGTGGCCGTGGTCGTTTCTCTTTTTGTTTTTTGTTGCTGCCTGCAGGTTTACGTCTTCGGCATCCTGTTTGCCCAGGACCGGGTCCGGATGTGAGGGAGGAAGCTTTCGTCCGATTCTTGAGTTTTGATTTTGGGTTCTGGCAAGAAAGAGTTTTGGGTATACGCTTTAGGGGGCAAGGTTTGTTATTGTGACTGCCGGTGGTACTTTCACTCTCGTTCGTGTGAGTGTTACTCAATCATATAGCGAATTTCATGCCACCGGTACACCCTAAACCCTAAACCCTAAACCCTAAACCCTAGTTGTGATGAGTCGTCAGAGTTTCAAGGTCCCGAAACGTCCAAGTGTGCCGCCTTGCGTCTTTTTTTTTAAGGTCTGGGGATCCCCATGCGATGATCCCATCATGATGTGGATGTTGGTCATGCACAACGTTACTAATATAGGGGCCTAAATAATTACCTATACTTTTTAAATTTTTGGGGTTCCCCATTAAAAATATATAGTATAATCGGCCCCAGAGCAATATTCTAACTAGCAAGGCCCCCTGCATTAGGTTGAAGCTTGTGTGTGAAAGGCTTGGGGTTCAGGGTTCAGTTGCCCTAAACCCTAAACCCCAAACCCCAAACCCTAAACCCTAAACCCTAAACCCCAAACCCTAAGCCCTAAACCCTAAACCCCAAACCCTAAACCCTAAACCCTAAACCGTGCTTTGCTTGCCAGGTGTCAGGTTTGGGAGCTGGGGTTTGTAACGTAACAAGTAGTATAGGGGCCTAACTGATTGCCAATACCATTTGGGGGGCTCCTTATTATAATCATAGAGTAGAATATACCCCAAAAACCTTATTCTAATTACCTAGGGCCCTATGTTCGAGTTCAGGGTTGGACTAGACCGGCGGTCGCAATAGGCCTGGATGCAAAAGGGTTGGGCTCGAGGTCGCAGGAGGAAACGGCTCAGGATTCCGGTTCGGGGTTTATATAGTCTGTAGGTATAGGGTTTAGGGCTTAGAGTGTGCTTACACATTCTTATTGAAGCTCTGGTGGCCGCAAGGGGAATCTACCGTTCTTGCAATCTTGCCTTCGACCAAGCAGGGCCTAAGACCTCCATCCGAAAGCCCAAACTCTACGCTAAACCTTGAGCCACAAGATGCTGCCCTAAGGGTTTAGGGTTTAGGGTTTAGGGTTTATAAGCCCTACACCAAACCCAAACCCCCTAAACCCCTAAATCCGAAAGCCTAAGCGCCTAAATCCTTCAACTTTGGACCAGTATCGCTACAGACCTCGCCAGGCTTGTCCGAGAGTGAGTGTCAAAAAACCTTGAAACCCCAAAGCCTGAGCCCCTAAACACCTACCGCCCCAAACCTTAAACCCCAAAAGCCTAAAGCCTAAACCCCTAACCCCTAAGACCGAAACCCCCAAACTCTAAACCCTTCAACCGTGAAGCAGGCAGTGAATGACCATCTGATGGACACGGATGTTCGTCCACTGAGCGACGAGGAAAGCGCCGGCAGGGAGCCTGATACCCTGATGCATCCTGATGCCCTCAACTCCTTGACCCGGTGTAGGATTTAGGGTTTACCCCAAACCCAAAACCCTGAAGAACAAGAGACCCGAACCCTTAACCCGGTTTAGGGTTTACCCCATACCCAAAGCCCTGAAAAAGAAGGGCCCCAAAACCTAAACCCCTAAACCCCTAAACCCAAAACCCAAAACCCAAAACCCTGAACCCATAACCCCTAAATTCTAAACCCTAAACCCTAAAGGTTCTGCAG